ATGTTTCCCAACCCAGTGCCAGTGGCGATGTACTACGGCTACAGCTACTAACTACTACCGTGAGTCTTGCTATTGTTCCCGGTTATACTGCTGCTATGGTCTCTGTTTTTTCGAGATTTGAGGGGTCGTCCTGCAGGCACGACAAGCATGCCGAAACATCCGAGATCCAAGGCTACTACTCCTTCTCCATCGCTGCTCGCAACGCCGCCGGAGAGGGGCCAGCCAGCCAGGTTCAGCGGTTCCTGTCCGCCTCCATGCCAAGCCCCGTGGGCCAGCCGGGAACCCCAAACAAAAGGACGTGTCTCTTTGACTCAGAGGGGAGTGGAAGATGGGAGACTGAGGCCCGCGCTGCAGACCTCCTCCTGCACCGGTGGTTCCATTAGCTTCAAATGGTCTGTTCCAGAGGCACCAGCACTGTCATTGGCTGCTCCAATCTTGGGAAGCTTCGTGCTACTTGTGAGTTTCAGGACGATGGCGGCTGTCCAGTGCCATGCACCCGGCTGGGAAGAGCGGATTTGGGTTGTGGAAGCCTTCAGTGAGCCTCTTTCGGGCAAGGATTCGGTACCGCATCCTTCGTGATGGAGCAGCCACCGGAACAGAGGCAATCGCGGCTTCACAGTGCACCCTGGCGGCTGGTGCTTGAAAGCAGGTGTCGTCCACCACCGTCACCTACTTCACAGCAGGTGGATGCACTGATGGGGGAGATCGGAGCTTGTCGGATGGCAGAAGGCTCCTTGCGCATCTGGCCACAGGCTTGGAGTGTGCCACCTCCTATCTCTGGAGCGTGGAAGCAAAGCCCTGTGCCCAAAGCGCACGTCCACGTTAGGATTTGGGGTGAAGGGCGCCCGCCGAGGAACTGCCTGGACATCTGGGGTCGCCGGCCGAGCGTTTGAACTTCGGGAAAGGATGGCAAGGAGAGTGGCGACGGTGCTTCCGGACCGCAGCCGTTTTGGCACCCATACGCAAGAGGCTCAAAGCATACTTAGTGCAACTTAGCATAGCGAGATGCTTGGGACACCCCGGCCCGAAGATGAAGCGGCTGCAGCCAAGGTGGCAGATTCAGGTCTCAAGGTGCGCACGACGAAGTCCGCTTCCGTGTCACCGGGCGAGGCGATGCAGATGCTCCGTGCAGGAAACCAGCGCTTTGTGAAGGGCACACCCCAGGCGACCACTACAAGCGACGGCCAGCGAATGGAGCTTGTGGATGATGGCCAAGCCCCGCACACGGCCGTTGTGGGCTGCGCAGATTCCCGTGCCCCCGTGGAGGTGATTTTCGACGCGCTCCCTGGCGACATCTTCGTCCTCCGAAACGCTGGCAACACCTGCACCCACGCGGAAGGCAGCATGATCGGGAGCCTGGAGTTCTGCACTGGCAAACTGGGGGCACGTCTTGTGATGGTCCTTGGCCACACCAAGTGCGGAGCCATCTACGGCGCCACGAAGGCTCACTTTGCCCGCAAGAAGCAGGCTGCAGAGTCCCAGAGTGCACTGGAGGGCTTGCTGGAAGGTTTGGGTGAGGTGGCAGAGCAGGCAGAGTACGACATGGGTCCCATGGCGGACGAGGACTTCGTGGCAGCCCACGCGGTGAAGGTGAACGTTTTCCACACCATGAACTTCCTGCTGCAGTACTCGCGGGGTCTCCGCGAGGCGGTGAAGGCCGGACTGGTTGAGATCCAAGGCGGCGTCTACGATTTGGCGACGGGTTTGGTGCAATTTCTGGGCCGATCCCCGAAACAGGCCGAGCTCTTGAGCGAGGCTTCGGCGGCCCTTCCCCCCTCAATGCTCGGGATCAGCAGGGCAGGTGCAGCAAAGCGTGGCATCCACGGCGTGCGCACCGGTGACGACACCTCCGTGCCGCCGGAGAAGGCTCTGGAGATGCTCAAGGACGGCAACGATCGATTCGTCGCAGGCACCCCCGCCAGCGTGGCAGCGAGCGCGAAGATGAAGACGGCCCTGGTGAAGTCAGGACAGGCGCCGCACACCGCCACTCGCTCAGGTTGTCTCTGCTGGCAGGTTGCTGGATACAAAGGGCCTTAAGTTCCCCGGCATGTCACACACACTTACACACACAGACACTCGGTAACTGAGGCCATCATCGGCTGTGCTGACTCCCGGGCACCCATCGAGACAGTCTTCGATGCCATGCCAGGTGAGATCTTCGTTCTCCGCAATGCGGGCAACACTTGCACTCACGCCGAAGGTTCCATGGTTGGCAGCTTGGAGTTCTGCACTGGCAAGCTGGGCTCTCGACTGGTCATGGTGCTCGGCCACACGAAGTGCGGTGCCATCGTCGGTGCCACGCAGACCTACCTTGCGATGAAGGAGGCCAAGGGTGAGAAGGGATCTCCAGGCAGCGCGCTGGAAGGGCTCTTGACCGATTTGGCCGGGGTGGCGGAAAAGGCGGCAACAAAGCTTGGAGACAAGGCCAGCCTGGAGCAGATCGCTGCCTATGCCGTGAAGGTGAACGTCTTCCAGACCATGGACTTCCTTCTGAAGTTCAGTCAGCCACTCCGCGATGCCGTGAGCAGCGGGAAAGTTGATCTGCAGGGAGGCATCTACGACCTGGAGACCGGCAAGGTGGAGTTCTTGGGCCGATCTCCGCAGCACGGAGCTCTCCTTGCCAGCTCCAAGTCCCTGTTGCCTCCCTCCATGGACCTGGCCTTGGGCAGTGCCTTCGTGCGGACGCCGCAGGACCCCCCGATGGCCCCGGAGGCAGCGCTCAGGATCATGAAGGAGGGCAACGAGCGCTTCGCCCACGGCAACACCTTGGCCGGGAAGTTTGACGGGCAAATGAGAAAGGTGCTGGCGACCATTGGCCAAGCCCCGCACACGGCCATCGTGGGCTGCGCGGACTCGCGTGTCCCGCTGGAGCTGGTTTTCGATGTGCTGCCGGGTGATGTCTTCGTCATGCGAAATGCAGGAAACACGGTGACCCAAGCGAGGGGGAGCATCGTGGGTAGCCTGGAGTTCTGCACCGCCGCGCTCAAGACGCGACTCGTGCTCGTGCTGGGGCACAGCGCCTGCGGTGCTATCAAAGGTGCCACGGCCACTTACCTGAAGGGAGGTGGAGCTGCTCAGGGTAAAGCCCAGGGAGCCCTGGAGGGTCTCCTGGCTGGTCTCTCCGCCGTGGCAGAGACCGCACACCAGGAGCTGGGTAGCAAGGCCTCGGAGAAGGAGATCGCAGATCATGCGGTGAAGGTGAATGTCTTCAACACCATCAACAACCTCATCAAGGGAAGCACGGACATCCGCGACAAGGTGAAGTCCGGCCAAGTGGAAATCCAAGGAGGCATCTACGACCTCGACTCCGGGCGCGTTCAGTGGCTCGGACGCAGCCCCGAGCAGGGCAAGCTCCTCTCCAGCTGAGGCGTTCCGGCACCAAAAAAAAGCCCTGTGCCAGGTACTGGCCTATATACGTCTTGTAGTTCTATAACTGTAACGAAAGAGTGCGCGGCAGCCAAGACCTGAAAACCGTGTTTGAAACCTACCGGACCTACTCCGCACGGAATGACCTTGGATTGACAGGTTCGAGAGCTGACAGATAAGTCCGTTTGTGTGTGTTGCCTGCCGCAGCCGCCACACTAAGACCTCATCATGAGGCACCATTCCGCGCTCGAACGCTTGGCAGAACCGGGGTTTGTGGAAAAAGAGCTGGGCCCACGCTTTGCGCCGTCGCCATGGCGCTCAGTCTTGCAAAAAAGAGCAGAGTTTGTCTTGCTTTTGTTGTGTGCGGCGCATGGCGTGGGTTTCAGAGTGTCTTGCACAACCCTTCACACACAGGAAGAGCTGACCCGGTAACCCAGGTTAGTTAAAGAGGAGCAGGTGTCCTCTCAGTTCTTTCTGGTCTGGCTTCGGAGCCATTTCTCCCAAGTTTTTGACCCATGAGAGCCACACAGAACCCGGGGAAGCCTGCCCAAATTATGTCGCGATGTTAGTTGCTAGTCACATTGCTTTCCTATTTCGAGGGGCAGGCCCCGTGATCGGGGGACAAGATTTTAAAGCTCCCGGCAACCCCTCCACCCTCTTCTTTCAGCAATCAGAAGGGGTGGCTGTGCCTAAGGCACAGGGGTCCGCATGCACGGACCCTAAGACCTTAAGACCTGCAGCAAGAATGAAAGAACGTCGATGGCGACGCTGCTTCCGAGTCCCAAATCCCCCCCTCCAAAGCATACGAGATATACTTTCAGGCTAGATAGACAGATAGCTAGGCTAGGTAGATAGATAGCTAGGTAGGTTCTTAGATAGATAGACAGATAGATAGATAGACAGATAGACAGATAGATAGACAGATAGACAGATAGACAGATAGATACACACACACACGCACATATTGTCTGTTTCGATTGAGATATTACATGTAATGCAAAACTATCTCGAGTTTAAAACTCGCTAGAACTATAAACACAAAGAAACAAACAACTGTGTGCATAAGTACATACATACATACATACATACATACATGCAGACAGACATACAGACATACAGACATACAGACATACGCATACACACATACAAACCAACATACCTGCATACCTACATACGTACATACATACAGACATACAGACATACAGGCATACAGACATTCAGACATGCATACATAC